CTGTTACGCAAAAACCGCGATAGAGTGAAGCCGCGGAAGTCGAAGCACGAAGTGGTGAGGGTTCACTGTATAGCCAATGAGGCCTTTGTGTGGGCATGGCCTTCCCCTGAGGATTCTGGGAATTCGTGTATTTCCTCCTTGGAGGTGGCAGACACTCTCTCTCTCTGCTCATTCCCTGGGAGAAATTGTAGCTGACACATGAAGAGAGGCTGATGGAGCCATACCTCTGGAGCCAGAGAAGCCAGATGGAGACCCCTGCCAGCGCTGAGATGCTTACAACGCCACTGGATCCACAAGACTTCCAACCCACTGGCCTGTGATCATCCTGCATTCGGCATCGTTGCATGTGTTTTGTGAGTCTGAAGAGGAATTTATAGATTGATCAGACATATGGGCTACTATTGGACTTATGGGCTTGATCTGGACTGGGCTGGGATGTTTTCTCAATGTTCTTGTATATAAAGCTCTTTCTTATATGCATATGAGTGTCTATAAATTTGTTTCTCTAGTCTACCCAGACTAATACAGTGTCTGATGATTTGGGGTGACTGTAGAACAATGTAGGGGTCTGGAGGTGTAGTGGTTATGTGTTAGGTTGAAATTATAAACCATCAGTCGCTCCATGGGAGAAAGACAGGACTTACTACTTTTTAAAAAAAGTTTATTTTATTTATTTATTTTTAAATAGTTTTATTAGGGGCTCATACAACTCATCACAATCCATGCATACATCAATTGTGTAAAGCATATTTGTATACTCATTGCCCGACTCACTACTTCTATAATCAGTTACAGTCTTGCAAATTCACAGGGGCAGTTCTACCCTGTCCTATTGGGTCGCTGTGAGTCAGTATCGACTTGGTGGCAGTGAGATGGTTTTGGAAGAATGATGTTCTATCACAGGACTGATTGCAACGCCAACTCCCCCATGAGAAACTGAACCCAGCTGAGTGAGATGAGGCTTCCTCTGTTGAAGGGGTTTTTAAAATGTACAAATAGTGTGTGATATACAAGGGGTTACCCCTCAAAACCAGAATTCTGCTGGATGAGTGGAACTTGGGTAGTACACATTTTTCATAGTAGGTGAGTATTAAGCAACTCACTCTGAGTCAGTGCACCCAGTGCTGTCTCCTGGGAAAGTTCTCTCTGGTCACAGTACATTTTTTTGTGAAAGCGGTTTTGCTGGAACCGTGTGTGTGTGATGGCTGATTTAAGAGAATAGCATGTGGCTGTGAGATTTTGTTTCCTGCTCTGGAAAAATGCTGCAGAAACTGTTGTGATGTTGAACACAGCTTAGAAGGACAGCACTATGGGAAAAACTCAAGTGTATGTGTGGTTTTCTCATTTCAAAAAAGGTGAAATGTCGATTGCTGACAAACTTCGTTCTGGACGTCCGTCAACTTCCCAAATGGATGAAAATGTTGACTTGTAGTGCATTTGAAGTTTGTGCCACCAGGTCAGACGGTTAATGAAGCTTTCTGTTTAGAGGTTCTGAAAAGATTGTGTAACAGTGTGCAACTAAAAAGTCCTGATTTGTGGCAGATGGGGTACTGGTTTTGCCACCCCGACAATGCACCCACTCATGCGGCCATCTCAATGCACCAGTTTTGGGCAAAAAACATCATGTCTCTCTCTTACCATGTACCTTCATCACCTGACCTCATTCTGTGTGTCTTCTTTATGTTTCCTTGAATGAAGAGGGACATGAAAGGACAGTGATTTGATGACGTAGAAGAGATGAAGGAAAAAAATGAGGGAGGTGCTATCATCCATCCAGACTGATGAATGTTTGAAAAATGTTTCCAAGAATGGAATCGCAGATTTGACAAATGTTAGTATAATGGTGAATATTTTGAAGATGATAAGGTTGTTTTGTAAAAAAATTTAATTACATAGCTTTGGAAAAAATCCTTTTTTTTCTTTGGATGATCATGAGCATTAGGCAGGCATGCCAACACCTCATTGCTTGGGGGACTGGTGTAGAAGATTACAAGGTCTGAACACAAAGGCTGCCTTTGTCTTGGGATTTATCCTTATGGCAGTGGTCTCATAGTGTTTGTCCCTTTGTGATTGGCTCCGTTTGCTCAGCAGAATGGTTTCCATGTCCACCCATGTCGTGAGGTGTTTCCTCTTTTCATCACTGTTTTTAAGGGATGCATTGTGTCCCACTTTATGGATGTGCAAGTGTTTCTTTATCCATCCTTCTACAGGTGGTATCTTAGGCAGGTTTCTCTAGAGCAGCGGTTCTCAACCTGAAGATCACGCCACGACATCTTTGGGGGTCGAATGGCCCTTTCACAGGGGTCGTCCGGTTCATAACAATAGCAAAATTACAGTTATGAAGTATCAACAAAAATAATTTTATGGTTGGGGGGGGTCACCACAACATGAGGAACTGTATTAAAGGGTTGTGGAATTAGAAAGGTTGAGAACCACTGCTCTAGAGAAACAAAACCAGGACACTTATGATTATGATATATATAGTATATGGATTTATACAGTGAGATTTAATGGAGATTTATACAGTGAGAAGGAATATAACAGCTGATTAGTCCACATAGCAGTACAGAGGGCTCAGCTCAACTCACTTTTGTGGAACAGTTAATCTACTGGAAGTCCTTCAACTCACTGGGCTGCTGTGTCCAACGTCAAGGAAGCAGACAGCAGAGTTCTCCCTTGGGTAAGGCAGGCAAAGTCTTCCTGTAGACAGCAAACAGCAGGGTGGGTCAGCAACAGTCAGTAGCTCGGGAGCTTAGCGAAGCAGGCCTAGAAGGGATTTGGAACTCAAGCAATGCAAGGCGACAGGATCCACCAGCCTCAGGTTCAAGAAATTGTATGCACCAGCAGCATGGCAAAGCAGGTCTTGAAGGAGCTCAAGTTCGATCTACATGATCCATGGGTTGGCTTGGCCCACAGGTAGTATAGCACGCAGGTTGAGGCAGAGAACCACCTAAAGCAGTAGCATGCTGGTCTGATCACCAGAGACCAGAGAGAAGGGTGGGCCTTTCAGAGCCATTTATCTCCTTGCCCTCCAATCAAACTGCTACCTTATTAATCTCACATGTTCCTAATGTCCAGGTTGGCACATTAAACCTAACTATCACAGATGGGCATTTGAGCTGTTTCCAGCTTCCTGCTATTATGAACTGTGCTGTGGTGAACATGGGAGAGCATACATCTGTTCATGTTGTGTCTCTAACTTCTTTGGGATATGTACCCAGTAGAGGTATTGCTGGCCCATATGGTCTATTTTCAATTGTTTTAGGCAGCACCGTATCACTTTCCACAATGGCTGTACATGTTTACAAACCCACCAGCAGTGTATAAGAGTTCCAATTTCTCTGCAGCCCCTACAGCATTTGTTGTTCTGTTTTGCTTGTTTTTTGTATTGGGCTATTATTGTGGGTTGTGTAATGTTTAATGTCAACTTCTTTAGAGTGGGGGGAGGAAAACATTTTCTTGTAAAGGCATCTCCTATGCACAGTGCCTGGTCTATGGTAGAGTATGAAACACAGAGAAAGCTCCAAACCAAATGCACGGCCATCAAGGCAATTCTGAGTCCCAGTGACCCTACAGAGCAGGGTGGAACTGCTCCTGATTCCAAAATTTCCAAGACTAATTTTTTTATGGGAGTAGAAAGTCCCATCTCTGAGATGTAGCTAATGGTTTCGAACTGCTGACCTTGTTATCAGCAGCCCAATGGGTAGCTCACTACCCTATCAGGGTCCCAGCAATCTTATAGGACATAGTAGAACTGCTCCTTAGGGTTTCTTAAACTATAAATCTTTAAGAGCAGTCTCATCTTTCTTCCAACGAGCGCCCTTGCTGTTATCAGACAGTACCTAACCCGCTGGCCCACCAGGACTCCTTAAGCCTTAAGGCAAAGCAAAAACCAAACCAAAAACCCCACACACAGATTCATTGCCACCTCGTCGTTGATGCCAACACACCCTAAGAACTGCCGCTGTGAGTTTGCAAGACTAACTCTTTATGGGGGTGGAAACTCCTGCCTTTCTCTCCGGGAGCGGCAGTTTCAAACTGTTGACCTTTCAGTGAGCAGCCCAGCACATACGCACTACGCCACCAGAGCTCCTCAAAACAAAGAAAGGGGAAAGATATTTGTGCAAAATCCTCAAGGACCTCCATTTGTGACGTTCCGCAGGGACAGTGGGAGCAGTCATGTGAACAATCTTTGAGGAATAATCCCAACTCCAGCTGGGCAACACTGTCAACATCTCTGGACGAAACAAGCCCTCATTTCCAATTCAGTGGACCATAGGGAAGCCACGCGGAATGCCACGAAGACTGACAGCGCGAGCCCGAAGGATTTAAAGGGCCACGACCAGAAGACTCCGGCTCTAGTGCGCATGCACACAGCCGCCTGGTTGCCTAGCAACCGAGGGTTGATCGCTCGGCGCTCGACTCGGCGCCGCCTCCCTGGGTCGACGCTCCCCGGTCTAACCTCTGGCGGGCCGCCCTGCTCGGGCCTGGGTTCCGTGCGTGCGCACGCGCGGCGGGCGGGCGGGCGAGCGGCGCGCGAGGGCCGTCGCCGGCCTGGGGGACGGGGGCGCACGCACGAGGGGCGGAGCCGCGGGCGCCCGAGTGGCTGAGCGACCGGAAACGTGCCTGAAGGGTGCGGCCTTCAGGAGGCGGCGGGCCGGGCGGGAAAC